CTGAAGATTAGATAAAACCCCCAATATATATATTTTCTGAAAGTGGACACCCTAGAGCAGGGGTTTTCAAACTTTCCATACAAAGGGTCAGATTATTGTCCTTCAGACTTTTGGGGGGGCTGAACTGTGGCCATTGGGAGTAGAAAAATACTCTGCAGCCAATGGGAGTAAACAACAATACCCCATCATTTGTATTAGTGAGAGGAATAGTGCCCCCATTATTTGTATCAGAGGAATAAATATTACCCCATTATTGGTATCAGTGGGAGGAATAGTTACCCTTTTTCTGGTATCGGGATTGAATAGTGCCCCATCCTTGGAGGATAATGCCCCATTGTTGATGTCACTTGGAGGAATAGTGCCTTGTAACAGTGGGAAGTGCCCCAAGGGCTAAATAAAGGGAAGCAGAGGACCACATCCGTCCCCCGTGCCGCAGTTTGGAGACCACTACCCTGGAGAATAAAATGGTTGTAGTTTGTCACACTGTAGTACTGCAAAGGAAACATTTCAGTAAAAAACACACTAAAGTGAATATTAAGGCCAACAAACTAAATCAATTACCCACATTTTGGGAAAGTATTAAAGACGAGGATGCACCGAATAAACCGATACCCAACATGTCAAACCTTAAATTTGTGTGCACTCAGAAAATAGCTACAAACTTCAGTACCCTATATTTTCTATAGGCGACACTTCAAAAGCCTTCTATAGGTCATCAGTTTGGAGTTACGGAAGAGGTCTGTTGCTAGAATTATTGGTTTCATTCCGGCGTGCACGGCGATATGTAATGTTTTCATGCTTAGGTGCCCCCGACCTGTGCGTGTATGGTGTGATTTATATGATTGGGTCTAACTTTAACTTTTTACAATTTAAAAAACATTTTTTATTTTTTTTTTTCATCACACGGGGACAAAAAGTCCCCTGTGATGATTTTTGGTTCTCTTTAATGAGACATTCCGAGTCCAAAAAACCCTGCATGTTTATTTTGTGCTCCACTGAATGTAATGAAATGCAGATTGCATTGCAATACATTCCTTCCCAGCTATGCTAGCCAGGGAAAGTGACAGGGGGACCCAGAAGTGACGTCCTGCAGTCACTGTCCGGGTCAGCAACAAGCCACAAATCTGCTGTCCCCAAACTCCTTTACCTGGCGGCACCCGCTATGTTGGTCCCGGGCCCGCAGATGGGCAAGTGGAGCCTGGAATACATAGTGGGGGAGGATGGGAGCCTTACCTGGGGTGTGTGGAAGCAATCAGGCGGCAGCATAGCCACCAAAATGCTTCCATCTGACATGCAGGAGTCTGCCTGTCAGATTTACTCACAATCCGGATGGCTGCAGCCACCAGCAGCAGTACGCAGACTGGGAGAATGAGAGCAAGCTCTATGCACTAATCAGGCTCTGCTGCAGTAGCTTGCTGAGGAGAGGGCAGAATGATTACCTTATCAGTGTGCTGCTGCTCCTTCAGTCATCAGTCTGTACTATGGCATGGAGCAGGTCAGGACCAAACTGTTTCCTTGAAGTGCATCCGTCATGAGAAAATATGGGGGCTGCCATTGCTGCCCTCCTTCTGAAAATGAATGCAAATTTTATTTATATTATTATATATTTTTTTTTTAAAACAAACATGTTATACTTATATACTCTGTAATTATTTTGCACCCGGTGCTCCTCCTTCTCAGGTTCGCCATCAGCGCTCCTGGATTCCTCCCCCAGTTGGCTTTGCTATGGGGGCACTTGTGCAAACTCTCTCCTGAGTCAGCTTTGTGTGTCCATAGGCTCTCACTGCTGTCTCTGAGGAGGGAGTCGCTGCTCTCGTGCACAGCACTGGATCAAGATCGGGGGGAGCTGAACTCGTAAGGTTTTTACCCTTAATGCAGAGAACCTGTAGGACCTTTTACTGCTGTAGAGTTACAGACCCAGAATAAGCATGCTATGTAAAGTGTCAGATTTCATATCTCTATACTTTTTTCTAAGCGGGTCAGAAAGCCATGAAGCCAAACCAATAGTGTTACAGCAAAGGCAGCATAATTAATTTTGTCATGACAGGTCTGCGGAGAAAAAGTTCACTGACCTGGCTGTGCTGTCTGGCAGGGGGTACCTAGATCACAAAACTTGCTGAACAATTGCAAAGACTTGTGACAGGTAGGACAGTGCACACGTTTGTATTGGCTTTGCTAAAAAAAAAATATATTGAAATTTGAAATTTTCAGTGACTTCTTGTAATTTTCTGATAATACTCTTGTTACTTTTTGTCTTTTCACATCTAAATGGTTGTCTGAAATGGTCAGATTACCAAAAGTCATGCTCTGTAAAGGAGAACAAGCTTGCATGCATGAGGGCACATGTTTTGACTGATCAACAAAGAAAAGCCTCCTGCCCTTTCTATACAGTGAAGCCATTGTCCTCCCTCCCTCCCACTGTTAGCCATACACATTAATATTTCTCTTTTTTAGCCCTGCAGACTGAGTGAGAAAAATCAATAGATTCCCCAAGTGTGGATAGAGGAACCTCTTGCCGTCTGTTGTATTCTGACAGCCATTGCTCCAGCAGCTGTCAAGTTTGTCAAGCCAAATGGTGTCAGCATGCCCAACCTTGGCTCAAAATTTTCTAATTTAAGAGGAATCGTCTGAAATTCGAGCCGTGTATGGTCAGCGTTAGGCCTCATTTACACTTGTGGTTGGGGGCAGTAAGGACGCATTGTTGAGCCACATTTTTACCACCACCTCAAACCACTCCATTGCAAAGATTATCCCTGCTGTCTCTTTTGGTAGACAGTACCACCCACTTAACACATCTCAATCAAATGAATGGAGAAACCCCTTAGACTTGTGCAGTGCACACGGCTGCAGCACATTGGTGAGGGGGTAAAGGGAGTTAAAACAGACAGTGAGGATGCAATATAACGCTTTCACACTGCCTGCCAAATGCCCCTTCAAGAGCAATCCAAATATAGGTCACTCTTCAGAGGGCACTGCATGTGTTAATGGGGCCGAAGAGTGGTAATTGTCTCATGTTTTGAATTTAGAACTGTGTGAGAGAAGACTGCTTAATTTGGTTAGAAGAACAAGTGTAGAATTGTGATTCGTAAATTTTATTTACACAGGTATTACAGAATATCAAACTTTTAGTTCAAGTTAACCCTATGCTGTGTATACCCCACTCTTCATATGCACATACATACTCACCGGCCACTTTATTAGGTACACTTGTTCAATTGCTTGGTAACACAAATTGCTAATCAGCCAATCACATGGCAGCAACTCAATGCATTTAGGCATCTAGATGAGGTGAAGACGACTTGCTGAAGTGCAAACCGAGCATCAGAATAGGGAAGAAAGGGGATTTAGGTGACTTTCAACATGGCATGGTTGTTGGTGCCAGATGAGCTGGTCTGAGTATTTCACAAACTGCTGAGCTACTGGGATATTTGCACATCCTTAGGGATTACAGAGAATGGTCCGAAAAAGAGAAAATATCCAGTGAGCGGCAGTTGTGGGGACAAAAATGCCTTGTTGATGTCAGAGGAAAATGGGCAGACTGGTTGCTGCTACATTCTGATGGTAGGGTGAGAAATATCTGTAAACAACCTGAAAGCATGGATCCATCCTGCCTTGTATCAACAGTTCAGGCTGGTGGTTGTGTATTGGTGTGGGGGGATTTCTTGGCACTAGCAAGGTGTACCTAATAAAGTGGCTGGTGAGTGTACATGCATACTGATTTCAGCAGGAACGTTGGATTTGGTGGTGTCCCAATTCTCCTTCAAATTAGTGGTTTTATGCAGTACTACACATGGATAGCCTTTTCTCCGTTTGCCCCAATTAGGAAGCTGTCTGCTCACAGTGAAATGGCTTTTCCACTGGGGTCCTATGAACAAAAGCCTTTCAATGCACAATACTGTACAGCTTAGTTACCTTGGAAGGGCAACAGAGCATCACCATGGCCATAGCTTCTGGTCCAGGTAACTCACTTATTTGAGAAATGTAGAAGGGGGTATACATTAGGGTTGATTTTATTAAAACCAAAGAGTGTAAAAATCTGGTGCAGCTTTGCATAGAAACCAATCAGCTTCCAGATTTTACTGTCAAAGCTTTAGCCCTCATGCACACGGGACGTTTTGATAATGCTGGTAACGTTAGCTGTGTAAAGTCACGTTAAAAACATGAGTATTGCAGCTTTTTTTTGTGTTTTTGCATTAGCGTTTACCGGTGTTTTTCCACGTTTGCGGTTTTTTTTTTTTTTTTACAAAAAAAAACCCTTTTTTTTTTTTTTGGGTGGGGGGGCAAAAAAGTCCAAAAACGTCGGTTTACAGCGTTTTGCTGCCTTTTTCAGTGCTAGAGCGTTTTTTACAGCTAAAAAATGTCCCTGTAAAAGAACGTTGATTACAGTCTGTGTGCATGGACACATAGGATAACATGCTGGGGGAGGTTTACTAGCTGTAGAAAAAACCAACAAAAGCAGCTGTAAAAACGTCAAATGTGCATGAGAGTACTAAATGAGCAAGCTGAAGTTAGAAGCTGATTGGCTATCTTGCACAGCTGCACCAGATTTTGCACTCTGCAGTTTTAGTAAATCAACCCTATAGCATAGAGAGTGAGGGAATGCCATTGGTGTAAAGCTGTATGGAAAGTATTGTTATCCGTGAAAAGGGTGCACACAGCACAAATTCCTGATGCCTACCAAGAAGTCTCCTGATGTAGGGGCCAAAGAGTATAATGAGCTTAATAGTTCTGTACAAAACAGTGCATGGCAAAGGTTATGCTCTGTGCACCCGAAATGCTGCATTTATCTTTCTAGAAAAGGTATTTTAGGTGTTGTATACACTCCAGCAAGAAAGTGGACATTTGAGTTCACTTTGAAGTGCTCTATGTGTTGAAATTTTGGTATTGAATATGATTTGAATGAAATTGACTGTGTCTTCTCTTCCTCACCAGCCTATGTGTATGGACTCTAAGCCTCCATCATGGGGCATATGCTATCCAGAGTGTTCGGGAACAAAGAGATGCGAATATTAATGTTGGGTCTAGATGCAGCCGGGAAGACTACCATTTTGTACAAGCTGAAGTTGGGCCAGTCCGTCACCACCATTCCCACCGTAGGTTTCAACGTGGAAACCGTGACCTACAAGAATGTCAAGTTCAATGTGTGGGACGTTGGTGGCCAGGACAAGATCCGTCCCCTCTGGCGGCACTATTTATACAGGCACGCAGGGCCTTATATTTGTAGTAGACTGTGCTGACCGAGATCGTATTGATGAGGCACGGCAAGAGCTGCACCGCATAATTAATGACCGAGAAATGAGGGATGCCATCATTCTCATTTTCGCCAACAAACAGGACCTGGTGGATGCCATGAAGCCACATGAAATCCAGGAAAAGCTTGGACTAACTCGTATCAGGGATAGGAACTGGTACGTCCAACCGTCTTGTGCCAACACCGGAGAGGGACTCTATGAGGGCCTCATGTGGCTAACTTCAAACTACAAATCTTAAAGTCTTCTTTTTATGGTGGTTATTTTTTTTTTTTTTTTTTAATATATATGATTTTTTCTGTAATTTTAACGGCTCACTAGAGGAGCTTTAAAGGGAGTATTCCTTCTCAACCAAATCTTGGTGGCCCATTTTGTTCTAAGAGTTAAAGGGAGATTTTTGGCGCTGCTGGGCTGCAAAGAACTTGCAGGATACTGACAGCCCCTTGCGATATCTGCCTTAATTAATAGTGTAAAGGGGTTAACATAAATGAACATTCGATCTTCCTTCAGACCTCAGCAGTCACATCTTTGTCTGCTCCCCTGTACTGTTAATGAAAAGGGCTGGTAACCTCTGCAGCAAAAACCTTGCAACAGCCTGGCAGTAAAATCATGTTCCACATGGGGAAGATTTAGTGTTACATTATCATGGATGCATCCTCTTCTAGTGTAACGCCTCATACCAGACCTGTGCCTGAACTTTATAATGCTTGGCGGATGTGTTTTTTTTTTTTCATCAGCAAAATCTGTTTTATCTGATGCCATTTTCATTAGTTGATAATTAGTCTGATGTTCAGTGCATGTTGCCATTTTGGGAGCAGAATTTGGATTTGTTTACCCTTTAACACATTCCTGTACTAGCATTCCATGAACCGTTATTGACTGTTATTTTTGTGGTTGATATTCTCCATCCATGTTTCTTTAACGGTGCTTCCAATCTTTCACTTCATTCCACTGTTCGTGGTAACAAAATGTGCCCGTTTAAACATACCATTTTGTAATCTTGTGTAGGCATGTAGAGGCCTACAGATCTGTACAAAAGGGTGGTCTAAACAGTTTGTCTCCCGATGCTCATATACTGGTACTTGCAATGACCTGATTCCAGGTGACGTATCTATGAGCCAGGTAATCCAAGGTATTTAAAAAAAAAAATAAAGAGCACTTTTTTTTTTTCCCCCATTTTTGCAAAAAAAAAGTCTATGCCTAAAACTGCCTGCTAGCCCCTTGATTGGAGGAGTATCTGGCAACTTATTTTTGTATAAATCTGTCCACCTCTGCCTGTTACATATTACATGTCTGTTACTGAGCAGGTGAAAAGATTGAGTCACGTTTGTTTTTGGGTGCTTTACTTATTACTAAGTTATGTTTTTGATTCCTAAAGTGCTTTAGTGCCTGCCATGCCACTGACCTCTTAATATTCTGTTATTAAATGAAACTCCCTACTTGTTTGTGGCGACCAAATTTGTGGCCAAAGCTCAGTTTAGCCAACTGTCCTTTTTGATAATAAAACAAGAATGACATAAGCCAACATATTTGCACTTGACTATAAAAATCAAGTGTTGGTGTTCATTTTTTTTTTCTTCTCTTTTTAAAGTCCATGTCCACATCGTGGCCTCTAGTATGGTGTTAAAATACAGTGTTAATTGTCAATTATGAGGCTGTCATACTTTAAGAATACTTTACTTTATTTTGTCTGGCTCAGTCTTCCAGCCTGACGGGCAATATTGTCTGACATAAGTCCTGCTGCAATACTAATACATAGGTGAAGTGGCAGGATGTATTTCTTACTGACTTACGTTGCTGAGCTATGCAGACTCCCCTTGCTGTCTTTTTTTGCCCCACCTTTCCCCTTTTCGCAAATGTTATTCCTGTTCCAGAATGTTTTACTTCCCAGATAATTTTTGTTTCATGTTGTATTGCTTAAAACTTCAACTGATCAATAAAAGTTCAACAATGCATCCAATGGTGTGTTACAAAGGATGTGTGTCAATATGCAACTAATGGTGAAAAAGAAAAAAAAATATCAAGGCCTTGTTCACAATTGACACTTAACACGCCTATAGAGTTAATGAGTTGTCTGTTGAGTTTTTTGCATCGCGTTAAGCCCTGACTCACACTAATGCGGTGTGGTAAACGCAGCGAATCCTTTGCATTTCCCGCACCGCATTCCAATCGAACAGTGTCCATGCGATCTGGTACGGGTGTCAATGTGAAATGGGCAGCACAGTGGCTGAGTGATTAGCACTTCCGCCTGGCAGTACTAGGGTTGTTGGTTCAAATCCCAACAACGGCACCACCTGCCTGGAGTTTGCATGTTCTCCCTGTGCCTGTGTGGGTTACCTCCAGGTTACCGATTTCCTCCCACACTCCAAAGACATATTGGTAGGTGTGTAACTGGCTCCTCTCTAAATTGTCCCTAGTATGTGTATGTATGAATGTGAGTTAGGGACCTTAGATTGTACACCCCTTGAGGGTTAGGGACTGATGTGAATGTATAATATATATATGTGTGTAAAGCACGTATGTGTAAAATGACGGAGCTATATAAGTACTTGAAATAAATAACGACGCCCTAAAACAGATCCCAAAATGCAGTGCAATTTACCAGAATTTGTATCGCATGGGTGTGAAAATGTATGGCTCAAACCGCACCGCACAGACATCGCATGTGATTTGCACAGGAATGTGGTGCAGTTTCTGTGCGAATCGCATGCAATGTGCTGTACTGCATTAGTGTGAACCAGGGCTCAATGTCAGTGTGAACAGGGTACAAGGCTGTAGTATTGATTTTAGGTTAACAATTTTTTGAAATGTGTTACAAAGAATGTGTTAATATGCAATGCATATGAGCAAAAAAAAAAAAAGTACCTGCAAAGGGAGTAGTACTGATTTTTAGGTCTCATTTGGTTCCTTGGTGCAGAGAAAGGTTTGCTTTTTGCATAGGTCTGGCCTTTCCCTTTCCCATGTTCACAGGGATTTAGACATTGTTTACTTCTTTCGTGACCAGCATTTAGGTACTGGCAGAGCCCTTCAGCACATAGCATGGGTAAACCCTGTGTGTGCACAATCCTTTGCAGGGCTTTTGGAACTTACAGTGGTAGTCAAGTAAAAAAATAAAAAGCTTTCCCTTCCATCGCATACTAGCACATTATGAAAAACTTATCTTAAAAGGAAGCTCTGCAGTGGTGTGCACGGAAAGGTTTTTTCGCAGTAAGAGATGTGGAATAGACTCCCTCAAGAGTTGGTTCTGGTCAGCTCAGTGGATTGCTTTAAAAAAGTCCTGGATTGTTTCCTAGATACACAGAATATAACTGGATACTAACATTTATAGGTAAAGTTGATCCAGGGAATATCTGATTGCCTCTCGGGGGATCGGGAATGAATTTTTTCCCCCGCAGGAGCAAATTGGATTAAGCTTTGCTGGTTTTGTTTTGCCTTCCTCTGGATCAACTGTGGGTATAGGATTATAAATGTTTTTACTTTTAATGGTTGAACTGGATGGACTTTTGTCTTTTTTTTTCAGCCAGACTAACTATGTGCTGTCACCACTGCAGAGGCTTCCATCTTCACCCGGTCTTCCTTCAGCAGCAGCTTGAATGGCTGAGCTGCGATGTCACTGCCACGCATGTGTGTGATAGTCACAGCAGTGGCACAGAGCTTTGAAGTTAAGGTACGGGTAAACTGTTCCTTCAGAACGCATGCGCCGGTAATTTAAGCGGTTGCCACTCACTAGAATATCTCCTAAATGCTGCATGTTTAGGAGATACTCATTTACTTTATTAGAAGCTTACCTATAGGGAAACATTTACAAAAAAGACTTTACTACCACTTTAAAGCCCTGTGGCATATCTGTGTACATGCTGAATCCAGGAGTTGGCCGAGGGGAGTCCCAGGTATGAGTCCTGCCTAGGCAAGAAATGTGGAAGTGCTGAGGAGGAGGCAGAAAAATTAGGACACTAGATTTAGGGTGAAGATAAACTTTAAAATGTCATATGGTCACAAAGAAGTTAATGGTTCTCACAGTAAAAAAAACACCCCCCCCCCCCCCCCCCCCACTGTTTAATATACCTAGCAGCCTAGAGGGGTAGTATGGGTAGCACCTTCGCCTTGCAGCAATAGGGCCCTGGGCTTGATTAAAACTTGACACACTGTATGAAGATTGTATTATCTCTCTGTGTTTGTGTGACTTTCCTCTTACAGCCTCTAAATGTACTGCTAGATTAATTGGTATCCAGCTTAATTGACCCTAGTCTGTGTTTCCTACCCTGCACTGGCCAGTCCCAAAACTTGTACAAAGAAAAGAGGGTAAAGCTGGGTACACATGGATCAGATTCCTGCATCCACATAAGCGAGGTGCTTGCAGTAATTCCCCACCACAGGAGGGGGTGGATACAAGACCAGTCACTCTGCACAAGGTGAAGGAGCAGCAGTGACTGGTCTTTCTTGCAGGAAGTTCCTGCATGGAGACTGTAGTACATTGGATTACTGCATATACATTATTATTATTATTACATCGAGTTTATATAGCGCCAAAGGGTTTGCTCAGCGCTGTACAATAGAGGGGGGGGGACAATACATGAAACAGTACAACAATAACAAACAACGTACGAGGGGTTAGAGGGCCCTACTCTTTCGAGCTTACAATCTAGGAGGGAGGGGGTAGTGGTACAGTAGGAAGTGGCTGAGGGGAATGATGTGGTGGGAGGAATGAGGGAGAATGGCCGTTAGGTCAGGGTGGGGTAGGCTTCCCTGAAGAGATGGGTTTTGAGGGAGAGCGCCTGAATGTGGGGAGGGAAGGCGACAGTCTGATGGATTGGGGCAGTGAGTTCCAGAGGATGGGGGAGGACCTGGAGAAGTCTTGCAGTCATGCATGGGAGGAGGAGACCAGGGAGCAGGATAGAAGGAGGTCCTGTGAGGAGCGAAGGGTACGGGTTACACTGCTATCACAGGGACATAGTGATAATTGCAGTAAATGGCATTACAGCTCTATCTGTAATGTGTGTGTGCGTGTCTGGCCACTGATCGCGTTTTGTGTGTGGGGGCACACAACGACCTATGCTACTACTGAACATACACTCACCAGTCACTTTATTAGGTATACCTTGCTAGTACCCGGGTTGAACCCCTTTTTGCCCTCAGAATTGCCTTATTTCTTCGTGACATAGATTCAACAAGGTTTTTGGAGATTTTGGTCCATTGACATGATCGCATCACACAGTGATCTGGTGACTGTGGAGGCCATTG